CCCTGCTCAGTCATCTTCAGTTCCACCGATGCCAGCTCTACCATCTACCCAGCCACCAAAGAACAACAAGAGGAAGGGGAAAGGTGCCCCGGCAGATAAGAGGACTCGACGGAGGCTACAGCAGATCCCTCAGTGCCCGACATGCGGACGACTTCATCGAGGCGAGTGTCGCTTTGGTCAGGATGTATGCTACTATTGTCACGAGCCCGGACACTTTGCGAACCGTTGTCTGAAGAAGGCGCAGCAGCCTCAGCAGCCTCAGCAACCACCGCAGCAGCAGCAGCCCCGTCAGCAGGCACAGAGGCAGCCTCAGCAGCAGCAACAGAGGGGCAGACAGCAGGCCTGAGTTTACGCCGTCGATCAGGCAGAAGTCGAACAGCAGCCAGGTACCATGTCAGGGATGGTTATTCTTAATAATGTTCCTGTGTTTGCTTTATTCGATACTGGAGCGACACATACTTTCATTTCACGATGATGTCTTGACGCCATCGGAGTTCGCGCTACTACCACTATCGATCCTCTCGCGGTGAGTTTGGCCTCGGGACGAAAGATAGTAACTTCAGCTAAAGCTTCAGATCTTAGCCTTTCCATCGGTGGCCGAGTTTTGTCTACTGACGCGTTTGTTCTCGAGATGAGAGACTTCGATCTTATTCTCGGATGGATTGGCTATCCTTTTATCATGCGGATATCAGATGTCATGACCGGGAGATTACTCTCTATCTTCTGGAAGACGAGTCGATTACTTTCTTCGGCTCCAGAAATCGTTCTTTGCCTCATGTTGTTTCGATGGCGAAAGCCACTAAGTTACTGCGACGAGGCAACTACCAGGGTTATCTGGTGAGCCTTGTCGACGATTCTCAGAAAGTACGTTCACCTCACGATGTTCCAGTCGTTCGAGAGTTTGTGGATGTATTCCCAGACGAGCTTCCAGGAGGACCGCCTAACCGGCAGGTGGAGTTCTCTATCGATCTCATTCCAGGAGCCGGTCCAGTGTCCAAAGCCCCATACCGTATGGCGCCCAAGGAGTTGTAGGAGCTTAAGACTCAGATTCAGGAGCTGTTACGACTCGGTTTCATCCGACCGAGCGTGTCACCTTGGGGAGCACCCGTTCTCTTTGTTAAGAAGAAGGACGGATCCATGCGCATGTGTATTGACTACCGAGATCTTAACCGGTTGACGATCAAGAACAAGTACCCGCTTCCCAGGATCGACGACTTATTTGATCAGTTGAGGGGAGCCTGCGTGTTCTCAAATATTGATTTACGATCAGGCTACCACCAGCTGAAGATTAAAGAGTCAGATATCGCTAAGCCCGCTTTCAGGACTCGTTACGGCCATTACGAGTTCGTCGTCATGCCATTCGGTCTCAGCAATGCCAGCAGTTTTCATGGACCTCATGAATCGTATCTTCCATCCCTACCTCGATAAGTTTGTTATTGTCTTTATTGACGATATTATTATCTACTCGAAGAGCCAGAAGGAGCACGAGGAGCATCTGAGGGTGGTTCTCGAAACCCTCAGACGAGAAAAGTTGTTTGCGAAATTCTCCAAATGCGAGTTCTTGCTCCAGCGAGTATCCTTTTTGGGTCATGTGATTACTCAGGCAGGTATCGAGGTGGATCCTTCCAAGGTCTCCGCTGTTCAGAACTGGTCGACACCGAGGAGTCCGTCCGAGGTTCGCAGTTTTCTCGGTCTAGCTGGTTACTATCGCAGGTTCATCGAGGACTTTTCTAAGATCGCCCTCCCTCTATCCCAGCTGACGAGGAAGTCTGTGAAGTTCGAGTGGACTGACCGATGTGAGTCGAGCTTTCAGGAGCTCAAGAGGAGATTAACTTCAGCACCGGTGTTGACTATTCCCGATCCTTCTCGGAGTTTTACTATCTTCAGCGATGCTTCGAGACAGGGCTTGGGATGTGTCCTTATGCATGATGGCCAGGTCGTTGCGTATGCTTCACGTCTGCTTAAGCCACATGAGCAGAACTATTCGACGCACGACTTGGAGTTAGCCGCAGTCGTTCATGCTCTCATGATTTGGCGACACTATCTTTACGGCGGTCATTGTGAGATTTTCACAGATCATAAGAGCTTGCAGTGTTGGTGTTATATACTTAAGCTTTGCTTTAGTGGATATTACACTTGTTATTC